TTCTTGTGGGGATACTAAATTACGACTTCAAAGGCCCTAAGACATCATTGAACTCTCCAGGCACATTTTGTCCCCGTTTCCCACCCACAGAGGATGCTCCTGCCGCAGCCCACTGGTCCTCCCCGGAAAACAGGACCTCGGCTGAATTAACCTGCAGGCCCAGCCTCTGTTCTCACGGTGCTCGCCAGCACCCAGACAGCATCGCCGATCTCAGAGCAGACGGCACCCCTCCCGTTACTCACCGACCCGACTCCGGTTTGAAGAATTTTCAGTCCAGAGGTTTCCTCCAGTTTGTCTTTGTTGTCAACTGTTAGGAAAAATCAGAAAGCACAGGGGTCAGGTTGGAGAGGTCCTCAGTCTCCGGGCACCTCTGAGCATTTTTCTCCATTGAAAAATTCAATTACCGACTGCTTGACCCATCTACCTTAATGGAAGGGTCACGAACAGGCACAGAATTAGAACCTGAATGAGGCCCCATTTTCCCACTGACCACTGGGTCCCCCTCGGGCCAGCTCAACTGTGCGCCTTTGGTTCCATCTAGAAAGGGATGTCCCACCAGGACCCCAGGACTACCGTGAATCACTGATGAGAAATATGTAGACATGCTCTGCAAACTGCAACGTCTTATTTTAAAATTACGTAATCGTTCGTAGCTGTCTAATTACTGGGAAATATGTGTCATTAACCAGCATTAGGTGTTGATAAAAAGACTCCCCAGAAGGCCAAGCCGAACGTGTGTGTTTCTGTCACCAGCACCACCAGCTACTCTGCGGCCTCTTGTTCATGCCCTGACAGGAACATCCTATAATAATTTAGCTCTCATAAAAGCCTCGCCCTGGTTTTCCTCCTGATGTAGAATGAGGAAGACGTTCAGAGAACGAATTGCACTCGATGGCAAACCACGGGAAATGAGCTCTGGAAACAATTAGCAGATGGAAATGAACCCTCAGTAATCCCAGCACCAACACAGCAAACCCACCTGCCTCACTTCGCGGAGAGGACGGGTGTCACAAGGCAATTGACCTTGGCTTACGACTCTGCGGAAATACGCGTTTGCATAAAGCCCTTGTCACTTTGGAGATGAAAACCAGAAAAAAACGGAATTTCACTGCAAACCCTACCAACGAAGAGGCCTTGCGATTGTGATTAACACAGGATGAGGCAGCAGGAAAATATCAATTACTCTCACCCGTTATTGTAGCACCCCCGTGTTAATCTGGGGTAATGAAATTATTCCTTTCGGAGGGACGCGAACGAGATCCTGTCACAGCCTGCCCTTCCCACCTTTGCGGCCTCTCCATTGTCTTACGGAAAGTTTTTCCCTTCGAGCAAATGCATATTATTTTTTACATGTAAGTAATTACCTACTGCGCTGAAAGAACGAGGCAGACAGAAAACTGTGCTAAAGCAAAGCTCCTTTAAAGCTTGAGGATGGGGTGGGGCCCCAGGGGAGGGGAGGGGAGGACACGGACGTAAGCCTTGGGTGGCAAGAGAGCTGTAAGGTCATCGGTGCTGATGTCCTCCCGCAAACAGAGGAGACAACTGACTGATCGGCAGGCTTCCCTCAGGTGGGTAATAGCGGACTCTTTTAAGCAGGCTGAGGAACAGAAAGTGAATACAAAAGCAACCTGAGAACCACCCCGGTCACTGCTGCAGAGCGGTCACTGATGTCAGGGTCAGGAATGGAAACGGCAGCCCAGCCCACAGTAATGAGAAAAATCCAATCCACAGGGGAGCAGCCTTTTCCTGTGAAGGGCAGGTAGCAACTGGGTCAGGCTCGGCAGGCCCACGGCTCCGTCTTAGCTACTCAGCCCTGCCTTGCAGTGTGGAGGCAGCTGCAGGCCACGCCTAAGTGAATGGTCGTGGCTGTGTTCCAATAAAACTTTATTTACAACAGCAGACAGTGGGTCTGATTTGACCTGCAGGCTGTGGTTGCCAAGAGGTTGCCCGGCCCTAGTCCCTTCTCCACACTGCCCAGGGTGTCACGAGCAGTCAGTCTAACGGTGTCTGTCCATCCTTGGACTCAACATCCAGACCTCTGGTTCCAAATCCAGACCCTTCGGTGGTCCTTCAAAGCCTTTCAGTGGTGTCCCCTGCAAGCACGGAGAACTTGCCTTGCTGGCCCTGAGGTCCAGGTGACTCTCCTTGTCCAGATATTGGGCTTTTCAGCACATTTCAGGCGTTCTCTGTCCCCTGCCAGGATGCTCTGAGCTCCTCAGTCTGACGAAAACACAGTCCTCTTTCCAGGCAGCTCAGGCCCCACATGTGCTCAGAGACACCCCCTTCTTCACCATCCTCAGCACGGCCCTGTGTGTCTCACAGCTCATGGTGTGCAGGCTGCCTGTCCCATGCACAACAGAATTGTGAACTGTCGCACTGGGTAACTTCTGCTCTGTGTAAATGCTCCCATCACGGCTGACTTCAGCGCTCATATGAAACTACTAAAGGGAATGGGTAGAGACACTGTCTTAGTCCGTTTGTGTTGCTGTGAAGGAACACCCAAGGCTGGGCAATGTACAAGCAAAAGAGGTTTCTTTGGCTCACGGTAATGCAGGCTGCACAAGAAGCATGGCACAGGTGTCTGCATCTGAGGATGCCCCAGGCTGCTTCCACCTGCAGTGGAAGGTGAAGGGAGCCCTGCAGTGTGCAGAGCTCACATGGGGAGAGAGGAAGCAGGAGGGGGCAAGGGAGGGCCAGGCTCTGGTTAACAGTCAGGTCTCACAGGAGTGAAGAGAGAAGAAGTTGCTGAGCTCCACCCCGGGAGGGCATGAATCCATTCAGGAGGGATCCGCCCAGCCCCATGCGCCCCTCCCCCATGATCCAAAGGCCTCCCACCAGGCTGTGCCTCCAACCTGGGGACTGAATTTCAACATGAGGCACGGCGGGGCCGAACCAACCAGACGCCCAATCACACATGGGGACTGATTTTTAGCATGAGGCACGGCGGGGCCGAACCAACCAGACACAGAGTCACACATGGGGACTGATTTTTAACATGAGGCACGGCGGGGCCGAACCAAGCAGACGCAGACCTGCAGGTGCACAGGAAAGAGTTCCCACCATGCAGACACGGAGGACAGAAATAATCTCAAGGGTGCTGATGACACGAAAATGTAGAAAACCAGTTATAAAATGGTGAGCTTGAGTATTGATCGCCTCTGCTCTTAAAACAGTTTATTTAAGTGTGTTTTTATCATTCAATGTTTCACAATGGCTGTATGAATAACGGGCTCACAAAATTCCTGAAAAAGTAAAACTAGTTCTGTCGAGTGGATGCAAACGGTCCCCCGCGCTGCTGGCACAGTGCTTTGTTTATTCCCCAAGTGGGCCTCCCTGTCCGTGTTTCCTTGGTTCTGAAATGCACATTTCCCCCAGCTGAAGTGGGGTCGCAGCATGGGCCAGTGCAGTGATGACTCTCGGCAATTCCTGCCGCCCTGAATAGGCAGCAAGGCGCATCCTTGGAGGCCTTGGGGAGGGAATGAGTCCTTGTTTCTGCCTGAGCACTTTCTACTGGGGCCTCCCAAGACGCCAGGAACGCGCGGCAGCAGAACTTCCAGAAAGGGCGTCGGCTGTGGCCAACAGTAACTCAGAGGATGATCTTCTTGGCTACAGTGGAATGCTCATGAGAAATGCTGTGTGGCCAGCCTGGAGAGCACGTGGGGACCAGCCAGCGGCGGCCTGGAGAGCACGTGGAAATCAACCCTGCTGTGGCCTGGAGAGCAGGTGGGGACCAGCCAGCGGTGGCCTGGAGAGCACGTGGGGACCAGCCAGCGGTGGCCTGGAGAGCACGTGGGGACCAGCCAGCGGCAGCCTGGAGAGCACGTGGAAATCAACCCTGTTGTGGCCTGGACAGAAGGTGGGGACCAGCCCCGCAGTGGCCTGGAGAGCACGTGGGGACCAGCCAGCGGCGGCCTGGAGAGCACGTGGGGACCAGCCAGCGGCGGCCTGGAGAGCAGTTGGGGACCAGCCAGAGGCGGCCTGGAGAGCAGGTGGGGACCAGCATCCTGCTGCGGAGACGCTCAGTGGAGGGGCTCTGAGTGTGACATGTGTCAGGATTCTTTAACCCGTTGATCGCTAAAACTCCTTTTAGATGCCCATGCAAGAGTGAGGCTGATAAATGAGTCTGAGAGATTGTTCAATAAATACAAAATCATCTGAGGTGATTCCAAAGCATGTGCTGTGGTTCAGTGGCACCGTCTGCTCTTCACTGGACCTGAGCTGAGAAATGGTTTCCAAGTCAGTGAAACAGGCATCGTGGTGAGTTCCAGGCAGAGATGCCTCCCGAGCTGACTGTGAGCCTCTCGAGGACAGGCAAGGTTCTTCAGGGTCTGTGACTGCACTTTGATGCTTAGGGGCCTGTGTTCTTTCTTCAACAAATGCATCCACGCTGCTGCAAAGGACATGATTTGGGGCCACCATCCTAAGTAAATTAATGCAGAAGCAGAAAGCCACATGCTGCCCCACGGTCTCTCAAGGAAGCGGGAAGCAGACATCATCAGAGAGCCACACGCCGCCACACGCACTCACATGGAAGTGGGGACCAGACATCAGAGAGCCACACGCTGCCAC